CAACCGTCCGAGATACCGTGGCCCCAGGCGGTCAGGAACCAATAGACCTTGACAACGTCAAGGATGCCGACCCAGCTCCTGCTCCATCAGCAGCCGGAAAGAAAAGAAAGGCTCCTCTACTGGTGGAGGTGAAAAAAGAGAAAAAATAGCAATCACTGACCGGTGAACGGTCAGATGAGCTCCGTCCTCAACCGGTTGGCGAAAGCATTCATCTCGTTCTGGACTACAGCCGTCCAGAACGCACTGTTAAGGTTGGGCCGGTTGCTCATGCTACCTTGGGTGCAAGCTTGCACCTTCTGCTGAAAGAATTCAAAGACGTTTTTTCCTTTGAAGTGGAAGAGATGCCAGGCATCAGCCCGGATCTTGCTATCCAAAAACTCGCCGTGGACCCCAAAAAAAAGCCCATCCGGCAAAAGAAAAGAAACCACGGCAAGGAAAGAAGTCAGGCGGCAGCTGCCGAAGTCAAAAAGCTGCTAGATGCCAGGTTCATTCGGCCTTGTAATTTCCCCGACTGGGTGGCCAATGTGGTCATTGTGAAGAAACCGAATGGGACCTGGCGCATGTGTGTTTATTACATAGACCTCAACAAGGCGTGTCCAAAGGACAGTTATCCGCTTCCAAAGATTGACAGTTTGGTTGATTCTACAGCCGGTCACGCCTTGATGAGCTTTATGCATGCCTACTCTGGCTTCCATCAGATACCCCTGTGGAAGAAAGATCAAGAGAAGACGGCCTTCGTCACTGATCAGGGGTTATTCTGTTATACTGTGATGTCGTTTGGCTTGAAAAATGCGCCTACCACTTTCCAACGGATGATTAGTACGGTCTTCATTAATCAGATTGGGAGGAATGTGGAGGCGTACATTGATGACATGATAGTCAAATCCAAGCTACAGACGGATCACCTTGCTGATCTCCGAGAAACATTCACCACCCTCAGGCGGCATAAGGTTATGTTAAATCCTAAGAAATGCAGCTTTGGTGTTGAGTCTGGGAAGTTTCTCGGATTCCTGATTGATCAAAGGGGGATAGAGGCTAACCCCGAAAAGATACAGGCGGTGATTGACATGAAGTCACCCCGCTCTGTCAAGAAAGTTCAGAGACTCACCGGTTGTCTGGCCGCCCTGGGGAGGTTCCTCAGCCGGTCAGGTGACAAATGCCTCTACTTGTTCCAAGCAATCAGGAAGAAGACCAGATTTGAATAGGGGGATGATGCTGAGGCGGCGTTCCAGAGGTTGAAAGAGCATTTATATTATCTGCCTAGGTTGGTCAGTCCTTTGCCTAGGGAGACGTTGTACATGTATTTATCCGTCTCAGACCATGCCCTCACTCCCGTTCTCCTTCCTGAGCGAGACGGCGTGCAGCTCCCGGTTTACTTCATTAGCCATGTTCTTAAAAATGCTGAACTCCGGTACCCCATGGTTGAAAAATTTGGCCTCACTTTGTATATGGAATTCAAAAAATTGAAGCCTTACTTTTTGGCACATCCGGTGGTGATTTACACGGACCAGCCACTCAAGCGGCCAATGTCTACCTTGGACTCATCCGGGAGAATGTTGAAATGGGTTATTGAAATGCAGAGCCTTAAAATCACTTACAAACCAAGAAAGGCAGTGAAAGGTCAGGCGTTTGCCGACTTCATTGTGGAAATGACTCGTCCGGTGGCTCCGGATAATCTTGATCAGGTTTGGAAAGTGTACGTAGACGGGAGCTCTACAAAGAACGGCTGTGGTGCAGGCGTAATTTATGAGTCTCTTGAAGGAGACAGATTTGAATATGCACTACGCTTCAAGTTTCAGGCCTCTAACAATGAGGCGGAATATGAAGCCCTGCTAGCCGGCATACGCATGTGTAAGGCGACAGGGACCATGAAAATTGACGCCTACTCTGATTCTCAATTGGTTGTTAGCCAGTATGAGGGAAGTTATGAGGCTACCCATCCGGCTATGATTAAATATCTTTAGGCAGTCAAAGAAGAGACCAAGGCACTTGAGGAATTCCGGCTGAATTAGGTGCCTAGGTCGAAAAACAACCAGGCGGATGCATTGTCAAAGCTGGCATCTTCCGCCTCCCATGATACGCCTCGGTCAGTCTTCTGAGAAGTTCTTGAAAAGAGAAGCATCTATGAGGATCCCGTTGGAATTCTGGACCGAAGCTCTACCTGGATGGATGGCATCCGGGCCTATCTCTCAGATGGCACACTTCCTGATTCGCCACAGGAAGCAGCCGTCCTGAAAAAGCGAGCTGCAAGATTCGAGTTGAAAAATGGAGAACTCTTCAAGGCGGGGTTTCTGAAGCCTTTGTTGAAGTGTGTAACCCAGAAAAGGGGAAAGAAGTTCTCGAAGACTTGCACTCGGGATTCTGCGCCTCTCACATAGGCGACAGGTCCCTAGCTGTTAGAGCCAGACGACATTACTTTTGGCCCACTCTTGAGGCGGACGCCAAGGAGTTGGTGAAGAAATGTGACAAGTGCCAAAAATTTGGCAAACTCATTCACCGTCCGGCTACTGATCTGACGGCCATCCACAACCCAATCCCGTTTGCAAAATGGGGCATGGACATTCTAGGTCCTTACACGCCTGCTCCAGGCGGAAAGCGCTATATCTTAGTGGATGTGGATTACTTCACCAAGTGGGTTGAGGCTGAGGCGGTTAAAAACATCAAGACCTCAGACGTAATTTTCTTCATCTGGAAGAACATTATCACCCGGTACAGGGTACCCATGTCTATGGTTTTTGATAATGGTCCTCAGCTAAAAACTTGGTTGGGAGATCAGGGGATCTCAAGCTATTTCGCATCTGGTGGCCGGCCCCAAGCAAACGACCAAGTTGAAGCTTTCAACAAACTCATCTCAGACGACAATAAAAAGAAAATAGAACGAGCCGGTGGCTTATGGGCCGAAGAATTAATCCATGTCCTGTGGGCCATCCGGACAACAGCGAAAGGAGCAACCAGTGAAACCCCATTTCTCATGGTTTACGGTGCTGAAGCCGTCTTGCCAATCGTACATTACGAGCCGACTCTCAGAGTCATGCTGTATGATGAAGAGGCAAACTGGGAAGCAATGCGCCTGACATTGGATTCACTCCCAGAACGCAGGGGAAATGCCGCCTTGCGTCATGAGATTTACCGTCTGAGAATGACGAGAGCCTACAACAAAAAAGTACACAAGCGTCCCTTGAAAGTTGACGACTTAGTGTTACGAAAAATGGAGGCAACCGGTAGGGCCAATGAGCTGGGAAAGCTAACCCCAAATTGGGAAGGCCCCTACCGGATCTATGAAGAAGTAAGGGACGGCACCTACCGCCTGGAAACTCCAAACGGCAGGCGCCTGCCTAGAACTTGTTATGTAGACAATCTAAAAAAGTACTACTTCTGAGAATGTAAACTTTTTGTAAACAGTGAGTTAGTTAATGAAGATTCAGACTTTGTTTGCAAAATTATCGTTTGATTATCCATCCGGGTAATATCCAGGCGGATTCCTCATTTACCTAACTAAGTTCGATACTTAGTGAAGGTTTCATTTGTTAGTCCGCCTGGGTAATACTCGGATCTCTTGTTTATTTAAGTTTGATACTTTGTTTATTCAACTGCTTGACTATCCGCCTGGGTAATACTCAGACGGATTCTCCATTTATCTAACTAAGTTTGGTACTTAGTATGATCAAATATTTGTCTGTTCGTCTGGATATTACCCAGACAGAATCGTATTCTTAAAAAACTAAGTTTGATACTTAGTGTAAATTCAGCACTGATTAAGAAACTAAGCACAAAAACGTTTAGTGGCTACACAATCGGTCTCAAACAGGACCAGAGGCTAAAATGGCCGGATGGTTGCTATTTTTATAAAATCGCCTGTCCCAACATGGACAAAGGCGTCCGGCGACACCCCTCCGGGTGCAATCGTTGCAGAAAACAGATTATCTGTCGTATCTATGTATCCATGCAGACGGCAAAAATTGAACGGCCAAATTGGTCAACTCATAGCCGTTTGACTAAAATAACCTGCGAAGAATGAATAAGTTCCTAAATACCGGATGCCCATAGGCATCAGTCGGTAACCGGCTAAAGTTCTCACTTAGGTTATTTATTTTAAAATTGCACCTCACCCTAATTGGGGCAAGAGTTCAATGGCTATGAAATCTCTACCAAGACGGGCATAAGCCGTCTGTGTAGTGGCCGAAACGCCTGTTGGTGTACGGATGTGCACATGGTTTGGGGCAATCACTACTGTGATTGATTGACTTACAAACATATCATGCTCTTTGCAGCATCAGACGTTTTCAAGTCAATCAACCAGCTCCAATTGAAACCAATCACACAGCCGTCCAGGGGCAAGGACAACCGGACTACTGATTAGTTAGGCAAGAAATCGCCGCATGCTTTTGATAAGTTAGGCAAAAATTAAAATTTGTAAAAAACAAAAATTCAAATGCAAAATGATCAAAACCGACTTAGTCGGTGCAATTCATAAAAGTCCATCCAACCAAACGGTTGTAATGGATCAAATGTTAACCGGACCCCGTCCGGGAGAAAGAAATTGTTAATTAACCCGGCTCCATAGCCGGTAAAAACAAAAATACTCGGCACGCAGGCCGGAAAAAGCAAGTTTTGGCATACAGCCGCTGATTAAAAATTAAAAAAGCAAAGACTGGCATACTGCCGCTGAGGGGTCACTTCTGGCCTGCAGACGAAGCCTCCTGGTTCTCCCCCTTCTCCTCATCATCTGAGGGAATTTGATGCGCTTCGTCGGGACCAGGAAGCTCAGGCGCGGTTGGCTCATTGTTGCTGAGCCAGGCTTCAAAGGAGGCAGGCTCTGGCTCACCTTGCTCTCTCAAGTACACCACGTACTCGGCATAGCTGTGTGCCATTGCCCAGATGCTATAATCAGCGTCTGGGTACAAGGCAGCCCAAGCAATTTTCATACGGGCGTCGTTGTCAGCATCACTCTCAGCAACAAGGCGGTTTTGCTCCGCCTCCAGGGTTGCTGCAAAGTTTTTCTAAGCTTCAGCAGCATCCTTCTCCAGCCTCTCAACCTTGGATTTCAGTTTGCCAAGGTCCGCCTGGGTCTTCTTAAGCGCCTCTTCAGCCTGTTTGGCGCTCTCGTCTGCTTTCTTCTGAGCCTCCTCCGCTCCCTTCTTGGCCGTCTCAGCATCCGTTACCCGCTGGTCGGCCGCCTTCAGATCTAGCTCCAGCTGCTGGATTTTAGACGCCTGTGTCATAATTATTGCTTTAGTTTCAAGTTCATTTACGATAGTTGAGTGTAAAGCAATATTATCAGCGTCTATGGCGGACTTCTTGGCCCTTTTTACCTCTTTCCGTTTGCGGGAATAAGGACGTTTGAGCCCGTCCACCCGCAGCATGGCCTGCAAAAAGCAGGCGGTATAAGAATTACAGGCGGGATAATTACTTGGAAAAAATAACATTGAATTGACAAGTTTCTTACCTCAGCTAGAAGGATAGAATGCGTTCAAGATTGAACGTCTCTATCCCAGGGATATTGTCCTTATCCCTCTTCCGGACGGCATCCAGCATGGCCTTGGCGTGCTTTTGGACGTCTGGCCAGCGGGGAGATTGATCTGCACCACAATCAATACGTGATGAGTGCGAAACTAAGGCAACACCTATCTGTTGCCGACCGTCTGGGGATGACGTCTGTTGGGAGTGGGATTTCACCCTTAAAGGCCACCCCAGCTTAAGCGGGAATTCAAAAGGGTTCTTACCTTCAGAGCCGGTTAAGCGGGAAACGCTTGCAGGTGTGGTGAACCCCGCGACTGGTGAGGGGTTGGTAAGATCAAGGCACAGGCTGCCGCCTACCTTCTCGAGTCGCCTCGCTATCCGCATCGTCTTAGCCCCGGATGAGGTGCCAGGAGTTGACGTAGAGGCAGACTTTTTTATTTTATTGATAACGGATGGGGCCTCCTTTCTAGCCCGTTTGAGATTCTTCTCAAACGATTTCCCAACTTTTCCCCCCTGTGAAAATAAACAAGTAAAGGTTAGTATCCGGGCAAGACAGTTTATAAAATAAACTTAAGAAAGGGTCAGGCGCTCAATACCTTGGCCCTGAGCTCGGCCGCAGCTTTCTCTGCAAGATCTTTGCGGATGGTCGCAGAAGACCGCTTGGGAGTTTTCTCCGACTGCAACATGTTTAGCGCTTCTTCTGCAAAAAGAGAAGTTGATCAGAATCATAAATCAATTCCGATAGAAAAATACTACAGACGGTGTGAACCCAAGCGCATACGTTTATTAAACATGTGCCCTAGCCCGCAGGCGGCTAGGAAACATTCATCCCTGAACCAGGCGCTCTTGGGAATCCAATTCTTAGGGACTTTTATTGTTTCCCGGTTGACAGAGTTGCGTCTGTGAGGCCGAAAAAGTCTGCCTCGATTATTTTGTCAAAGTCTTCCTCTGGGATCCGGGGAAGAGCGCACTTCCTGCCCAACAAGTCGGGCTTCTTATTGTACAGACGGAATTCATAATTTTCCCGTCTGGTCGGGGCTGACATCAGGTAGAACCTATGCTTCCAGCCATCGAACTTGGAGACCTTGTCCAAGGTCATCATGTATTGAGGCTGTGTGGTTAGAGTATACCATGCCCTCCAGCCGCCTGGGCTTCTGCTGAGGTAATGCATGCTTGCAAAGGCCTCCCAGCCGAGGTTAAGCCCTTGGAACTCGCAGGCGGCAACATACCCCAGAATGTTGGTCCAGGAGTTGGGGGTAAGTTGCCATACCCCAAGGCCGTAGCCTCTCAAAATTGCCTTCACCGCCTGGTGAAGGGGGAAGCGAAGGCCGGCTTTGAACGCCGCCTCATAACAGCCAAAATAGCTGTTGGCGTTCTCTTGATCATCCCCCCAAGCGACGGTGCCCAGCTCAGGCGGCACCCGGATCTTATACCCGTCTCCAAGCGGGTGCATTTTCTTAAAGTTCTCTAAGTTCTCCCCCATCTGGATTCGGTCCTTGGAGGAGACGTGGATGCTGAAGGGATCGTCCTTCTCACTCCACTTTTTCCTTTCTTCCTCCTCGCTATCCGAAAGAGGGGGCAAGTCATCGCTGCTCTCGGAGGTAGAGGCGGAGCTGTCACTCTCCGTCTCCCCCTTGCTTTGGTCCATGGGGGCAGAGGCGGCCTCGTCGCCGCCTTGGTCACACTCTTCCAAAAAAGAGTCTGCAGGGGTTGAAGGGGCGCGCGGAGGGGATCTCTCCAGAGCCGTCTGGTTTCCCTGACCCCGAGCCGGCACTCCCAGTCCTAGACTTAGCCGACCCTGGTGACCGGCTGGACTCTAACCTAGGCTGTGCTGTGTGTGTTGGTGATGCATCCATTTATTGCAAGAAATATGTACAAGCGGTGCAAAAAGAAAAGAGCTGAGAGAGACAGAGACATTACCTTTTGATTTGGTATCTGAACGTAGACGGGACCGGCTGTATTGCTGAAGAACAAACTTTCTTGCTCGCGTCTTCCTCAAACAAGTGACTTCTGCTCTCTCAGAGTTTTTCTCTCTAGGAAATTTTTGTAAACGTACAAAATTATGAGGGTAAAACGGCTATATATAGAGGGTAAATTTGGGGGCATTTTCGTAATTTACCCGGAAGGTGAACGGTTACTCTGTAACGGTAAAATTACCGCCAGCCGGAGCGTGACATGTGTCACAGATGCCACGTGGCGTGCCACGTCACATCTGTGAGGGGCAAATGTTTAGGGTAATTTTACCCTACCACGTGGCCCAATCAGAAGGTGACACGTGTCATCCCCAGATTGGTCTAAAATGGACCAATCCCTGCTCGACACGTGTCATTCCCGAAATCAAGGGAAAAGGCGGCCTTCAGGCCCAAATCCCGAGAATGTCGCCAAACAGCGCAACCCACCAATGATTAGGGTTCAGTAACCTAATCAGGGGCACAATTCCCAAAGACCCTATAAATAGGGAGATGTCCCTCATTTTGAGGGCACGTTTTGATCATTTATTACACATTTACTCTTTGATAAAGACATCCTGAGCTTGGAATCCGAGCAGATCCCTACCTAAATTTCCGCACCTTTTTTCTCCCTTCAAGTTTCTAACTTGTGCGTCGGAGGCGGAGCACCACCCAACTGGTGTCTCCGTTTGTTTTGCAAGTACAGCTCACCCCGGATCAGTCTTTGTGTTGTAACTCTCCCGAGGGACAAAAACACCCAAAACAGGATAGTTAGATAAAATCATTAAATCAAAATATATTTTTTAATTTCTGATTATTTGTTAAAATAATATAAATCCTAATGTAAAAGATAAAATAAAAGATAATTTTTGTTTTTTTTTTAATAATTTAAATATTAAATTACTATTTTTTGTTTTCAATTCTCAAATTTCATTTGTTAATTTTTTCTTAAAATGGCGACTGAAAATTAAAATTCTAAATTAATATATAAATCTAATTTTTCATTGGTCGAAATATTAGTTTTGTTTATGTGGCGTGCGATGAACGAATTTTTATATAATATATTTTTTAAATATCAAAATATAATTTTTAATTTTTTAAATAATATATATCCTAATATCTAAAGATAATTTTTAGTTTTGTAACAAATAAAAATGATAAATTTAGTGTTCTTAAACAATTAAAATCCTAATAAATTACTATTTGTCGTTTTTACCTACGTGGCAAAAATTTAAAATTTCATTCGTCACTTTTGTTTAGGCGGCGAGTGATTTTTTTAATTCTAAAATAAAATAGAAATCTAATTTTTAATTGGTCGAAAATATATCTTTTCTTATGTGGCGTTCTCAATGCTCTCCAAAAATGCCTACTTTATTTATATATATTAGATTTTCTTTTTATTTTATTTTTATTTTCTTTTTTTTCTTTTCCCTTTTTTCTTATTTCTTTCTTTTATTTTTATATTTTACTTTTCTTATTTTACGTTTCCTTTTTAATTTAATTTGTTTTCTTTTCTTTTTCTATTTTTTCCTAGCTTAGTATTTATACCCATTTTTTTGGGGTAATTAGAGGGATAGAAAATTAAATTACTATCTATTCCACTCTCTAATTAGTTTTAGGAGAGCTTCTCTCTCTAGGTTTAGGTTAGAATTACGGTAGTTTAGAGAGAGAAAGTAAGGGTTTCACCATTGATGAGCTTGGATATTGAAGAAGAAATTTATCATATTTTCTATAGACTTTCATCTTCCATCAATGAGAATCTCTAACTCTCTCTCTCTCCTCTATTTTTTATTTGCTTTATTTTGATTATTATTTTAGTTGTTGGTATTGCTTATTAATCATGTTTACTCTTGATTATTCGTTAATTAATCTTGTTATTAGCATGATTAGTGAGTAATTTCCCCATTAAGGGGATGATTGTGGTGTAGTTGGATCTTGAGAATGTTCTAGGGTTTAGTTTTATTTTATTTGTGATTAAAGTCTTTATATGCTTGATATTCTTTAATCTTCTTGCAAGTGCACATTGTTGGGTGATTAAAGGTGAATCTTTGCTAACAAGGAACGGAAGTTGACTTAATTAAGGTTCATTACTATCGATTGTTATTTAATAGTACCTCCTAGTATATGGTTCTAATGTGGAAACATAGAGGCTATGTTAGGAGAAGCCAATTGACCCCGGAAGGCGGCTAGATTAGACCCTTTACTTCGATATTCATGCTTGTTTAGTTCATAATTAATTCAATTTCTGTGCCTTTGTTTATGTTCAAGTGAATGCTATACCTAAATTATTTCCCTTAATGTTTTATTTCTTGTTTTAGCATATTTAGACTTTAGTTTATTTATCTCTCATTCCGGACTAGCTTAATTGTCGATAACATTTGGTGGTGTTTATCCGTTCTCTGTGGTTCGACCCCTATGCTTGCCTTATACTCGTATTTGGTTTGTTTAGGTTGTATAAATTGTATTTGATATAGGGATAGACAATTGAACGCGTTTATTCCCTCGTCAAATTGGCGCCGTTGCCGGGGAACGGCTACCATTACCGTTATGTTATCTTATTGAGACTAGTCCATTGTATATTTTTTTTCTTTTGATTTGTTTTTGTTCTCTTTGTTTTGTTTTTGTTGTTGAAAAATGGCACATTTTTCTTTTCCTCAATGTGATGATGAGTCTTTTTATGTCTACTTCCATAGACTTGTGGGATTTTTGAACTATAATGGTTGTAATCCTTGTGAAGCTTGTGAGATTTGTTACTATGGCATGAATGAACAAACGAGATTTGAAGTTGAAAGTAGGTTTAATGGCGAATTTCAAGCATTATCGGTTCATAGTGCTTGGAGCTTTTTTGTACGGTTTGCTAAGGAAGTACGCAATAGGGCATGTAATTTTGCTTATTTTGATTCTCAATGTGATAATAGTTTTATTAGTGGCATGCATCCCCATGATTTGTCTTGTGATCCTATTTGTGAACCTAGTACAAGTGATTTCAACTCTCTATCTCCTATTGTTGATGATGAATCTCATTTGCTTGATTATACCCCCTCTCCCCAATATGATGATGCTCACGTTTATAATGTTAATGATCCTCCCTCCTCATCTTCTTGTTCTTACATGGCTTCAAATGATTTCCCTTATGCTTCTAATGAGTCCTTTTATGAGGGTAATTCTATGGAAAATTTGAAGGAAGAGAAGATAATGAAGATAATGGAGATGATGGAGAAGTATAACGAGATGAGGGAAGTTGAGAATAGGGAGACAGAAGCTAGAATGAAGATGCTTGAGAGCCAAATTCTCCAACTAGCCAACTCTCAAGAAGATGCCCTTTCTTCTTCTTCTCTATCCCATATGAGTGAGGATCCCATTAGAGAGCATTCGAGTGATGGTGAAGAAGTTGAAAATGAAAAGAGTGTTGATTTTGAAAATCCTAATCCTTCTTCCCATCTTGATAAGTCTCAAGTGTATGTTTGTGACCCTTCAATTTATGAGTATATAGACTCTTTTGAGGTAATGTCCCACATAATTTTCGAGAGTCATATGAGGAGTTATAGATTATTGGATGATTTCATCGAGAACGCTTCTTGGGACTTAGATGAGTTTGAGATGAATCTACCTCCATTCATGCACGATTTTGGGACCTTGGGTTTTGAGATAGTTGAAGGAAAGGTTGTTTATTGTGGTGAAAAGGAGGATAAGGTTGATTCCCTTGGAGTTTTTGAGCTTGAGGGAGATGTAGAACG